TTCTCAGTGTACCGACCTGCCCAGGCACCTGCCCACACCTTCATGCTGCCTTACCAGGGCTCGCTTGATGTATTCCTCCTGGGCAGCCTTCAGGTTCTCCTTTTTCCCACCCCAGGCCTTCAGAGCAGAGGCCTGCAGGGCTCGGCCGTAAGAGAAAGTCAAGGCCCATGGCTTCAGCAGTGGGCACTTGTTGATAGCATTGAGGTTGATGGACGCCTCTTCCTCACTCTGCCCTCCAGACAGGAAAGTGACCCCTGGAGAACAAGGGCAGAAGGAAAGGGGTGGCTTTCATTAGAGATGCAGGGCAGGGAGGAGCGGCCAGAAGCTACCCTGGAAAGGAGTCCAATGTGATGACGTATCCACTTCACCAAGCCAAGATGAGGGAGTGGGCCTCACCAGTGACAGCAGGGGGCACTGTGCGACGAAGTGCTGTGACAGTTGCCATGGCAATCTCCTCATTGGAAAACTTCTGGGTACAGGCATGGCCTGGGGTGACCATGTTGGGCTTCAGCAATGTGCCTTCCAGATAGACATGGTGGTCACTCAGAGCCTTGTAGACAGCAGCCAGTACCTGGAACATGGCAGGGTGATATGGTGGAGGACAAGGATTACCTCTGAGTGGGACCCAGTCCACCACATTGCCCTGGCCAGGTGGATCGGCAACCTACCTTCTCAGTTACATACTGACAGCGCTTTAAGTCATGGTCCCCATCAGGGAGGATTTCAGGCTCCACAATGGGTACAATGCCATTCTGTGGGGACAGGGTAGTGTGAGGACTCCTGACTGGGAACCTGGGAACCCCACCTACTGTTCTCCACCACCATTAGCCAAGATCTTATCTTGATAGTGAATCAAGGCTTCAAAGGCCTCAGCAGATTACTGGGGACAATCTTCTCAGACTTGCCCACACACCCCCATTCCCATCACCACTTTGCAGAGTGGCCTCCACTGATGAGCCTAATGCCTGGTGGGTATGGAGAACAGTTGCTCTGGGAGAGGTAGATATCCTGGCAGATGGACAGAAAGCCCACACTGGAACCAAATGATGTAGATGGCCTATTGCAGCCCTGTAGTCCAGTCCCACCTGCTGGCAGATGCTGGCATAACGGGCCAGAACATTGGCATTTTCCATGATGGCAAGGGCAGAGGGAGTATGTTCCCCAATCTTTAGCACACAACGCCACTTAGCAAAGTCAGCTCCATCCTTCTTATACTGGGCACAGCGTTCAGACAGCCCATCCAGCCCTGAAGAAGAGAAAGAGTTAAGAGGGGCAGAGGCATGATCCTACTCACTCCAGAACTGTGGTAAGCAGGTGAGGGAGGGAAGGAGGCAAATCACTTACCTTGGGTGGTGGTCTCACCATTGGTTCCTGCCAGGGGCACCACGCCTTTATCTACCTGCCAGAGTACAAGGCAGCAATTCAGCTCTACCACTCTTCCCTCCACCCAGCCCCAACTTTATCCCTCACTGCAGCCTCTCATGGCCTGCAAATATTCTTCTGAGTCCCATGAGGAAAGAGATACATGCATTATTTGAGAGGAATATTAATTAGATTAGAGGAGCTGGAGCTACCTCTCACTAAGCAAACCATTTCACTGCTTTGGACTTCAGTTTCTCAACTGTAAATGAGGAAAACACTTTAGAATCATAGGGGCTGTAGAGTTCGCGATAGAGCACTTGCCTAGCACGCATAAGGACCCAGGTTTCATCCCCAAACACTGACAAAAGAATGTGCTGAGTGCACACCTTATGTCGGGAGCAAACCATACCTAAGTCTCTGGACCTGCTAACCCGGCATTCAATCCCTACCCTATTTTTATCCCCCTAGATCCATCTCTAATCTCACACCCCAGGGCCCTTACCTTAATGCCCACAACACCGCCCTTGGACTTGATAACTTGGGGGAAGGGACGTCCATCATCGGCCTTCTGGTACAGTGTTTCGTGGAACAGGATCACTCCCCCAATGCAGGGATTCACACGGTCATCAGCAGTCAGCAGCAGCTGGCGGTAGAAGCGCCTGTTCTCTTCGGTGTTCTCGGTGCCAATGGACTGCAGCCGCTTGGCAATGCTTCCTGAAGGGACAGTCATGTAGGAGGATAAGGAGATCAGCCTGCCACCTCCAACCCTGGGCCCTCCTCCCCCTTTCTCCTGCCTGTACCGCACCGGTGGACTCATCTGCAGCCAGGATGCCCTTGCCCGGAGCCACAATTCTATGAGCGATGTCAGCCAGCTCCTTCTTCTGCTCCGGAGTCAGTGCTGGATATGGGTAGGGCATGGTGCCAGTGGTAGCGCGTTCCTGAGTGAAGCAGACAGTCAGGTACAAGTGGTTAGCTGGGCCATCCTAGAGTCTCCCTGGGCAAAACAGGACTCCTTCCTTGGAGGCCAGGGCAGGAGTGCCCACCTCCCCTGCCCCACTCCCTGAGGGTCCTGGGATACTTCCTGTCCCAGACCTCTCCCCTACACCCAACTTCCCTATACTAGACCTGCCTCTTCCTGTACCTTTCCTAACTCTGTCTGTTGCTGGGTGTTGCCCAGCTGAGAGTGGGGTTGCTCACTGGCAACTGGGGGAAAGGAAAAAGCCAGAGCCAGGGACAGGCGGGTCATGTTGAAGCTGGACCCATCTGGCCTGCGCGTTGCCATGGGTCACCTTGCCTAGAAACAAAATTGAATCGGGAGTATTTTAGAATATAAGGATCATGAATAGGGCAGAGAGCCTCATCTGAAAGAGCAGAGAAAGAAATGGTCTGTGCTTGTAGCCACACAACAACCCAAAGGCTAGAGCTGAGATAGAACCCAGATTTTCTGAGGTGGGGCGTCCCTTGTAATCTACCCAGGGCTGGCCCAGGCTTCAAGGACACCCCAAGGTCAGGCTTCTCCCTCCTGGATGGGGCGGGGGAAGTGGAAGGAAAAGGGTATTAGGAAACATACAGAGCAATCAGAAACACAGAGAAAGGGCTATGGAGCCCAGGTGGAAGGAAAGCTTTGCTTCCATATTGCTCAAAGAGGAAAAGGTTTATAAGAGGCACGTGCCCCACCCCTTCCCTGAAAAGTGCTCCCGTCTGTTCGGCGGCAGCAGTTCCAGGCTCAGAATCAAGGTCACAAGATAAGGAAAGATAGTGAAGTGTTAATGGGCCAAGAAGCGCGGCAGCTGAGGAGATTCCCCTCCTCCCGGGGACTCCCCCAGAAAGGAATCAAACTCCCCCACCCCATCGAGGAACGCTGAGGCAGTATACGAACTGACCCCCCCCATACACACACCCATCGCTGCTTGGGATCCCTGAATAGGCAATGGGACCCTAATGTTTCCATAGGGGAGAGTCCTTGCAAAAATAAAAATAAAAGAGGGGGTCTGGTGTTCCATCTCATCTTGCTTCCTCCTCCGCCATGACTCAGCGCACGAAGCTGCTGCGTGGCGCAGCTCACTGCCAGAGCTCAGGCTGGAGAGGGCAGGAGAACCCGGGCTGGGAGAGATCGTGGGGGTAGAGAAGGGAGAAACGAGGGGCCATGGGGATGGAGGTTCCGCGCTGCGGCCCTGCCCGCCACCGACCCAAGATCTAACCCCAAGACCTAACCCCAAGGTCCCTTCCCCGCGCACGTGTCAAATGGCGCTCACCTGGCACAGGAGGGTGGATCTGCCGGGTACGGCGGTGGGTAAGCAAAAGGACTGAGGAGCGAACGCTGCTACAGTCACCAGAACCCCGTTCTGCGGTGCGTTCCAAAAGAACGCAGCCTATTCAGCTGGGGCGGGAGGGGGGGGACGAGAGGCGGGGCCTCGGACATTTAAAGGCGCCGCTCCGCCCTCTGCAGGTTTTTTCCTTGCTGGGACACTAAGTGTCCAATTGCAGGCGGGCACTGTGCGCGGCACGGCCCCAAGATGCTACGATAGGAGGAGGCGCTGGGGAGGAGACAAGCGGCCAGAACCCGATCCCTCCTCCGCTCCGCTAGGACGTGACTCGAGCCACATCCCGCTGGCCACCAGGGTCCTCCCTCCCCCAGCTCCCGCCTGGCGCGCGCGCGAGCATCGTGACTCAGCCGGAATGTGGGCTGGCGAGGGGGTGGGGGTGTCAGTGAGATGATGGCTGGCCTCCCCTCCTAGACCCCTGGCTTCCGGCCTGCGCAGAGGCAGCCTGACGTCACTGAAAAGAACCCAGACGTTCCGCGCCTTCCTGCCTCGTTCAGCGCATGGCTACGGGGCTCAGCCGATCCCTCCCCGGCCCGAGCACCCACAAGGATCGGGAGAGGGCGACGCAGCTAGCAGGGTACGCAGGCAAAGCCTCGTCGGACCAGCGCGCCAGCCACATCGCAGAAGAGTGGCCTAGCCTGGTCCGGGCTAGACTAGCAGATTGGTTGGAGTCACTACCCGCTACACCTAAACACCATCTTTGAGGAAATGATCGGCAGGGGCTGGCTCAAGCCGGACTCGTCTTCCCCAAACCTGATTTCCTTCTCCAGAATAAAAATCCGTCTCCAACACCGAGCGGCAATGGCGTACCCCTTTAATCCCAGCACTCGGGAGGTAGAAGCAGACGGATATCTGTGAGTTCGAGGCCAGCCTGGGCTTCAAAGCTACACAGAGAAACCCTGTCTCGAAAACACACACACACACACAAATCCGTCTCCGAGCTTTCTGCCACCCACTTACATCAGAGCATTCACTTCCCAATCTGCAACCCCCTTCCCTACCCTGGGATAGGGCTAGTGGCCCACCTGTGGCGCTGTGAAAGAAGCCCGCAGAGCCCGGTCAGCTGCGAGTGAGCCCAGCAGCCCTGGGCTGGGTTATAAGGCAGCGCTTATCCTCCACCCCTCCCCTACACACCCCCGCACCAGTGTCCCTTCTCCGTAACCCCTGCCCTTTCCCCACCACGAATCCCGCGGCGGGGACCTATATTTAGGGAAACCTGAGGCTCCTGACATTCATGCCAGCTTGAGGCCCCTGAGTCGGGGAAGAAAGCAAGCTTCGGTTTGCCTGGAGAGGAGGAGGTGCCCCTGCCCACTCACCGGTCTTTAGAGGAAACTCTTCCTTGAAAATACAGTGATCAAGAGAAATCAATCTCGAGTCTGGGATCTATAAGGCAGAGCAAGAAGTAAAGGAAGATTGGTGGGGTGTCTCTGGATGTTGCCTCCCACTGGCCCCTCTGCCCCCCTCCTCCCTTGACTCTGGGCCTGTTGGTGGCTGTACTTTTTTTTTTTTCTAAGGAGCAAATACAGGCAGGATACTCACCTCTTAAACTAACAGGGAGTCTACAGGCAGGGTGTGCCGGCCATCCCTACATCTTGATATTCCCGGTTGGCAGAGCCCTCCCATACTGTTGCCAAGGTGAGCAATGTCTTGCATCCTCACCTTCAAGTATATCGTTTACCAGGGGAGGGAGGGGGTGATGGCCAGGGCACTGCCAGAACACCAGCCCCTTTTCTTTCCAGCCCTCCAAAGGGGGCGAAATTCAGCTGTCCAAGGGCTGTCAGAATCCTGTCCTGCAGGGAACCAGGCCCTCCACTCAAGGCTCCCAGATAGTTAGGCTGGGCCCGCCAGCTGTAGCCTAGTAGTGGTGTCCTGAGGGCCATTATAAAGGGGGCTCTAGGGGCGGGCCACTCCCCAAAGAACAAGCCCCCCACCCCCATCCTTCATCTGAGCTTGATCTCGAAACAGAGGCAGTTGAGGCTCTGGCAGTCCGGAAGCTGGCAGGCACAGGCACAGTCACACAATGGGCAGCATCGAGGGCATCGAGGCGCCCAGCCCTGAGGGAGAAGAGAAGGGTGAATACCAGGACTTTCCTCCAATTGGAGAAGGGAACAGAGGGCCTTAGGAGGTCCCTCTGCCCAGTGGAACAGAGGGTTCCCTCCACCATTTCTGGAAACAAAGCCATTCTCCATGTTGAGAATTCAGCAGTGATGTGGTACTCTAGCCTACCTCAGTAGCCCCAAGCTCCAGTACTCAGGGGCTCTGTGGTGTGAGCAGAGTGGACCAGTGAAGAACTAGCTTTAAGTCTGGCTAGAATTGGGGTGTCAGTGTCCAGCTCCAAGGCAGTTTTGCTCTACTCTCCGAGCCCTGTGCAACCCAGAGGAAGTCAAGACACAGAGCACGTTTCGATCGATCCTTGTGAAGATAACGCCGCGGTTCTGAATGCTTTGCTGGCATCAAGCCAAACTGCAAGATGTCTTCCTTCCTTCTTTTCTTTATGAGACAGGTACTTGGTGTATAGCTCAGGCTAATCTGGAACTATGAAACCAAGGCTGGCCTCAAAAATCATGACAATCCCCTTGCTTCAGCCTCCCAAGAACTTGGGGTTTCTGTTGGTCTTTGTTTTGAGACAGGGTTTCACTGTGTGGCCTGGCTACACGGGAGCTCATTCGATTCCGAGTGTAAAAGCAGGTGGATCTCTGTGAGTCTGAGGCCAGCCTGATCTACATAGTGAGTTCTAGGACAGCCAGGGCTACACAACAGCAGTGCAGTGCAGTGCAGCTCTCAACCTTCCTAATGCTGTGAGCCTTTTTTTTTTTTGGTTTTGGTTTTTTGAAACAGGGTTTCTCTGTGCAGCTTTGGAGCCTTTCCTGGATCTCACTCTGTAGCCCAGGCTAGCCTCGAGCTCACAGAGATCTACCTGCCTCTGCCTCCCAAGTGCTGGGATTAAAGGAGTGTGCCACAGGGCTGGAGAGATGGCTCAGAGGTTAAGAGCACTGAATGCTCTTCCAGAGGTCCCGAGTTCAATTCCCAGCACCCACATGGTGGCTCACAACCATCTGCAATGAGATCTGGCACCCTCTTCTGTATACATAATAAATAAATAAATCTTTAAAAAAAAAAAAAAAAAGGAGTGTGCCACAGCTGTCCGGCTTAATGCTGTAACCCTTTAATACAGTTTCTCAAGCTGTGCCCCCAACCACAAAATTATTTTTGTTGCTACTTCATAACTAATTTTACCACTGTTATGAATCGTAATGTAAACATCTGTGTTTTCCGATGGTCTTAGGCAGCCCCTGTGGAAGAACTGTTTGACCACCAAGGGGTCACAACCTACAGGTTGAGAACCACTGACACAGAGAGAGCCTGTCTCAAAAAAGAAATCAAACAGTACAAAACAATGACGACAACAACAAAACCCAACTTTCTAAGCCAGGTATGGTGACTTGAGCCTGTAATCCCAGCACTTGGGGGACAGGAAGGCAGGAAGAGAAGTTCAAGTCTGCCCGAGCTACATGAGACCTTGTTTCTAAATGACAAACCAACAAACAAAAATAAAATAAGATACTAAAGCGATGGTTCAGCAGTTAAGAGCACTTTCTTGAGTTCAATTCTCAGCACCTACATAGTGGCTCGGAACCATTGTCACTCCGGATCCCAAGTTCCAGGGGATCTGACACCTTCTGACTTCCTCAGGCACACACATGGTGTATCGTTTTCCTCAGGCAAAGTGCTCATAGAGAAAAATAAAATAAATCTAAAGAAAAAAAAAGGTTTATTTTTCCCCTCAGTGCTGAGAACTCAGGACCTCATGAACACTAGGCAGGCACTCTACTATTGAACTCCCTTGAATGGGGAGGGGGGCTCTTTACAAACATGAAACAGAGGCTCACAGTGACTTGCCCAAAGGGCTACAACCAGAGAGAGGAACTGGCTTGAACTAGAGTGGGTTTCCCCAGGCCTGGGTTTCCCTTGTGCCCACTTTCCCAAGGCCAGGAATGTCAGCTTCATTCTAAAGCTTCAAAGGCAAGAACAGTTGGTCTCAAGTTCTTTACTTGGTGAGAGGACTCACGCTCAGCAGGTGTCTGAGCCCCAGATAAACGCTGAAGTATAAATTAAGCCAAGCATACCACTTTGCTCTTTTAGGCAAAAGCAGAAGGGGGCCTCTCAACTCCAGGAAAGATGTCTGTCTCACGGACATAATGTCCTGAGAGACAGGAAGGGACATTCAACACTCCAACCCACAGCTCCTCTAGCCTGGGACAGGGATGTCCTGCAACTGCCCCAGGCATGGATGGGAGGCAGGCCAAGGAGCTGGAGTGGACACACCCAGAGTGGCTGTGTGACAGAAGACAGGCTCCTTGAGGCCACGAGCAAAGCTAGTGACAGCCACAGTTGGGTCAGAAACCGGGCCAAGCCAGGAATAGGGAAATGACCTTTCCAACAGCTGAGGTTTCGGGGTACGGTGTCAGATGACCAGTGAGATCAGCTGTCAGCAGAGGCTCCAGCAAGGGGAGGAGACCAGCCAGCTCCAGGGAAAGGGGTCTAAACTGGGCTGTGTCACCGCCAACAGGGGCGAAGGCTGTGGGCATTCTGGTGGAAGGGAGAGAGAAGTGGTTTCTTCCTGTGAAGAGTGGTTTGGGCATCTCTGGGGATGAAGTCGGGTCTGTGGGTTTCTAGAGGACCACACCATCGTGCTGTGTACAGAGCCACTGGCCAGAACACTTCACTGCCCTTACCTCAGAAAAGAGGGTATTAAAAGCATCTCTTGGCTCTGTTTGTGCAAGGGTTTAGTCCAGCCATTAATAACTGGCTAATGGATTTCTTGACTCTCACAAGCAAAGGTTTCTGGAAGAACTCTACTGTTTAAGTATAAATAAGGACTCTGCAGCCTGTTAACTCCTGAGTTCTTGGGTGGGGTTTACCTTTTGGAGGGCCAGACATTTTTACTGGCTAGTTAGTGCTCAAGCACTAGAGTAATAAGACCTAGGAGTGAATTCTGCTTGGCTAAACTACATTCTGAGCCTCTGTTTCCTCGTCTCTGAAACAGTCATAGCACTGACTTTTCAGCGTCAGTGGACGGAAACGAGACCCTCAGTGAGTGCTCAGTGGAGCCGGCCACACTTGTCATCACAGTCTGGTTTCGCTCTGTAGTTTGTTTGTGTGAGATAGTGTCTCACTATGTAGCTCTGGCTGGCCTGGAACTCACTATGTAGCCCAGGCTGTCCTCCAACTCACAGAGATCCACCTGCTTCTCCCTCCCGAGTGCTGGAATCAAAGATGTGTGTTACTATGCCCGGCTTTAGTGGCAGTTCTTAATTCTAATGTGCATCAGAATTACAAAGTCTTGTTAAAAAGCACCAACAACAATCCCACCCCGACCCACTGGCGAAAGGCCTTGGGTTGCCACGTGAGGCTCCCACTTATTTCTGATCACCTAGCTGCATGCCACCCCCTTCGCCCACACCTAGAACTGGCTGCTCATTTGTCTCCGCCCTTCACCACTTGAGTCCTGGGAGCACGGGGACACCGTCCGGCTTATTTGTGCTGAGCCCCCAGGGTCAGCACAAAGCCTCACACAGTGGCTCTGTGTGTACTGTACACATGAGGGAGGGAAGAAATGAAGGGACTCCATCCTCCTAACAAAGCGGTTCAGTAAGTAGGTCTCTCCTACAGAGAGGAAGAAAACCTTGGGTTTGTGGTCTGGCTGGCACATCTGTCTGACCCCAGGCAAGTGAGTCACTCAATCTTTTGTGAGCCTCAGTATCTACACTTGCCAAACAGACAAGCCCTGTAACCTTCTGGCTGACACTGTTACCATAAGGAACCTGGAGAACAGAGGGACTTCAATGTACTTTGAGGAAAGACAGATCAAGGACAGGACAAGCTTGCCCTAGCCTTGGTCACTCTACATCTCCTCCTGTATCCAGCAGAAACTGGACAGGATCTGATCCACAGGTTCTAAAGCCCTGGACCAACAGGTGGGAGACTCTGTCTTCTCACAGCCAACCTCAGCTCATCATTGTTGCTGAGAAGTTGGATCCCTGACTTGTCACTCGATGTGGACAGATAGGGAAGAAGACAGGGTGTCAGGACCACGAATCATCCTGTAACTCCTTAAGATAGGCGTTCTTAGAACCTAAGGTCTCCTTTTCCCCTATCCCACCTGGGAGCCCACCCCCTGTCTGACTAGGGAACCAGAAGCGGCCTATCTGAAAGAAAGCTAGCTGCTTTCCCTCACTATGAAGCCACAGCTGGCCTGGAACTTGCTATGCAGACCGGACTACCCTTGAGCTGGCACTTGTCTCTGCTTCCTGAGGCTAGGACTGAAGGTCTACAGTGCCAATGCCTGGCCCTACTTACTGAAATTATCTTGCAACCTAGATTTAAATTTCTTTATTTTAAATGTATCTTGTATGTGTGGGTGTTTTGTTTGCATGGATGTCTGAGCACCACTTGTATGACTGTGGAGAACAGAAGAGGGGCTTCAGACCCCTTGGACCTGGCAATACAAACAGTTCTGAGTCTGAAGGTGGGTGCTGGGACTCAAACCCGGGTCCTTTGGAAGAGCGGCCAGTAATCTTAACTGCTGGGCCATCTCTCCAGCCCTCATACTTATTTTTTGAGATAGGGCAGCTTGCCCATACTGGCCTTGAACTTCTGATGTAGCTTTACCTTGAACTTCTGATTTTTTTTTTGAGATTTTATTTTTATTTCATGTGTATGAGTGTTTTGATGCATGCCTGTTGCCTATGGACCAGAAGAAGGCATCCATACCTAGTTTATGCGGTGCTGGGAATCAACCCAGTGCCTCCTGCATTCTAGGCAAACACTCTACACCAACTCAACTAAATCTCCAACCCTCATAATTTATTTTGAAACTCAAAACATCTGCCAGGGATTTGTAGCAAGTACAATCAATCCAAGTTATGAATTTGCTGCGGCTCAGTCTGTTACCCCCACTCTGCTAAGGAAGGTCATCACTCCAAGCACAGGAACTCTGTTGTCTAAATCTCTGAACCCAAAATAGTCCCTGTCCAAGAAAGTGGTCGATCACACTGAACATTTTTAAACCCACAAATGTAAAAATTGTCTTCTGTGGGTCAGCTTCTCCCCTGAGGATCCTATTACGACTTAAACTGAGCAGTTTGCTAGCCGAGGCTTGTGTAACACTGGGGAAGCCACAACCATCCCGAAGCCCTCTCACCTCTCTGCAAGGAGGGCAGAATAACATGTATATAGCTCCATGCTCAGGCATGGACACATGGCCAAGGTGCGATGTCCAGCTGAAATGGTCCTGGTGAGGCACACTGTGTGTGGGCTCCACCTTTGCCAGGGAGGCAGTCATGCATGGGAGTAACCCACGCATGAGGGTAACGCACACCCAAGACAACTGTGCAGGCCTGATCTAGACACTGCTCCTTCCCATCTCTGCTCCCCGCCTCCCCTTGTTTCTTATGGCTCTAGCCAAGTGCTCGACCACGCTGCCTCTCTACATGAGTAGTTTGTAGACAATATTTTTTGTAATAAAAATGTAGGTTTTTTTTTTTTTAAATTACAAAACCCACTTGTAATCCCAGCACTAGGGAGGCAGAGGCAGGAGGATCTCTGTGAGTTTGAGGCCAGTCTAGTTTACACATCAAGTCCCAGGCCAGCCAGGGCTACATAGTGAGACCCTGTCTCAAAAATTCAAAACAGAACAACCACCAAGTCAGCAAAAATCCAGCTTGCTTAATAATTAATATGATTTAATTTAAGAAATAATTAAGCTTCCTACCATCTTGGCACCTATGAAGTCCTGCTGGGAACGGGACCTCTAAAAGGCAAATATGTCTGAGAGGCTTGTCCAGGGCCATTTTTGCTGGCTGGAAGCGAGGTCTCCTGAACCAAAGAGAGCACATGGCTCTTCTTAAGACTGAGGTGGTTATGGCTGAGATGAAACTGGATTCTACTTGGGCAAGAGATGTGTTTCTGTGTATAAACAAGGGTAACACACTGACTCCTAGAGGCAAACTGAAAAGCCAGAGTCAGCTGGGGAAGGCAACTTAGACCCATGGAAGCAGTGGCAGGGTCCATGCCAGAGCCCAAAGCAAGCTTCCTGCAAAGGCCACTGGTCATAGAATCCTCTCAAAAATTTAAACTAACCAAAAGGAAATAAATAAAAATGAAAAAAATTTTACAATTAAACCAGGTATTTGTGTCGCACACCGACAGCCTCAGCACTGGGGGACAGAAGCAAGAGGGCCAGGAGTTTAAGGCCAGCCTCGTACGCAAGGCCCTGCTGAAACAAAAATTTAAAAATTAAGTAATGTTAAATTTAAATCAATCCTCAGCTCTCAGAGTTGCTGGTGAAAACAGTACGAATACAAGAGTGCTGTTCTCTGGAGTACAACATCACCCAGTGAACAGAAGGGGTTTCGTTGAGATCAAAGCTAGGTCCTGGTCCACACTAGGCAGGCACTTTACTTACAGCCCTGTTTTCTTTTAACTACCGTGTTCAGAAGTCCTGATTATGTACTGGGCATGTCACACAAACCATCTTTCTCCAGCAGTCACCCTATTTTCTTTTCTTTCAAGTACCATTCATCATCACCAGAAACAATCTGATACGTTGCTATGTTGCTTTTAGCTGTCTGCCTATGACTCAGTACCTGGCCTGGGGTTAGTGCTCAGTAATAAATGTGCTGAACAAAGAAAATGAAGGCCCGGACCATACCCAGATGAGAGGGAGCTGTGTGGGTGAAGAACAGAACTCACTTCGCTGGGATGAGGGCAGCAGGCATCCAGGTAGTGGGCTGGACTGGGCAGAGGGAAGTCACAGGCTTCTGCGCAGCTCCAGCAACAGTCTTGGGTCTCTGAGGCAGTTTGTTTCCTGCATGGGAAGCTGCAGTCTGTGCAGCAGCCCTGAGCCTAGGAGATGACAAGACTCAGGATCTGGGCCAGCCGGCAGGGAGGGACAGACAACTCTCTCTTTACTTTCTGGAGAGGGGTAAGGGAAGGATTAACTGGAGTCAAGGAGCAAGATTCCCCTGGTCCCATGAAAAGGACAGATGCTCTGACTGAATGGTAAAGGTGTCCCAAGACAAACGCTTGCAGGTGAGGGGACATACTAATCTCTCGGTTCCCGAGGCCTACCCTTTCTTCCCCTCCAGGCTCCTCACCAGCAGGCAGTGCCTAGCCAGCAGCACCAGGCCCAGCAGCATCAAGTACACGCCCACGGCGATGAAGACGATAGCCGGGGTGGGGAGCAGCAGGGAAGGGCTGCTGATGGAAGCTGAGGCTGGATCCCACGGGCCAGAAGAGGCCTGGACAGGCACAGGGGAACGGGGAAAGGGAGGTGAGGCAAGAGCAGGATAGGATGCCAGGAGGGGCACAGCACAAGGTGAGAGGTCAATAGGGCACCACCCTGACTCGCCGCCACCTTGTCCCTCTGCCATCCTCGTTTTATTACCAAGTATAGGCTGTCAATTTTGAATTAGCTGCGAAATACTGCCCTTCTCTGCACAGATTTTTGTTATCTGACTCCGGTATGACAAACTTCCCATCCCTCAGCCCTCATCACTGGTCCCTCTTCCGACTTGTTTCTTTCCACATCAGCTGCCCTGGTATCTCCACCCACGGCTCCCCACAACTGCTTATTTCAGGGACAAAGCTCCCCCACCCTAGCCCTAGCTACTCCTTCCCCCGCCCCCTACCCTGCCATCACAATGAGGTCTAAGCAGTTCCCGAGGCTCCATTCTCTTTCTGGCCCCTAGGCCTCTGCCTGTATCGCTTGCTGTCTCGTTGTTAGTACACTATCTTGCTAGGAATCCCCAAAACGTGCCTCCTCACGGGAAGTGAATCCCGGGCACTGTCTCCCAGCTCCTGTGCAGAAGAGTTTTTAGTGGATAGAAGGTCCCCTCCCCAGCACATAACACTGGACTCACGTCCATGGGGAAGGGCAACACAAGTCCGTCCAGGAGCTGCAGAAGAGAGAAGATGCTGGGCTCAAAGATCGAGTACCCTTAGGCTGGGGTACCCAATCTCCTCTCTCTTCCCGCCAGGGAAACCTGAGGCCCACGGACGACGGCTGGACAGGCGGGGGTCTCGGGGTCCAGCGCCTTCCCCTCCGGCCTGGCCACGGTCCCCAGGTCCCGGCTCCCTCAGGCCACGCGGCCACAGCACCTACACCGCCTACACCCTCAGGGCCGCGGGCAGTTTACAGATCCCGCGCCGCCTTGGGTCCGAACCGCCAAGGCGCCAGCACCGCCCAGGAGCTTGGCGCTGCTTCTTGCCGTTGCCATGGGGACCGCAGGGCTGCCTCTACGGCGGCCGCAGAGACCCAAACTCTCCATTCCCGCCTCACTGTACCCGCTCTGCCTTCTTCGACCACTTACCCTAGGTCGTCGCCACCATCCTGGCTTTCCCTCCGGAACTAGAGGGAAATAGCGAATTCTCGCCACCGCTGGCCCAGGAAGGGTGTTCGTTAGATGCTGGATGCCGGAGGTGGCAGACTGGGTCCACTCCCTCTTCTGCAAAAGGGGAACTGCCTGCCTCGTTCATACGGTGTTTCTAAACTTTATTTTCTGGAGAGGGGCAAAAGAAGGATTAACTCCCCTGGTCCCATGAAAAGGACAGATGCTCAGACTAAATGGTAACCGAGTCTCAAGATAAAAGCTTGTAAGTGAGGGGAGATACTAATCCCCAGGTTCCTCATCCCCAAGGCCGACCCTTTCTTCCCTGCCAGGCTCCTCATTAACTTTATGGAAATATCAAATGTTTTTCAGCCCGTTTCACTTCACCAGCTTTAGTCCCCGCCCCCCCCCCCCGCCCAGCTTTTTGCATTTTTTTTTCTTTCCTTCGTTCATGTTTTGTTTACTAAGACAAGGTCTCATTCTGTAACCCAGGCTGGCCTGAAACTCACACTATGTCTGGGCCTCACAGCAGTCCTCAGCCTCCTGAGTGCCATGCTCACACCTAGTCCTGTTCTTTTTTTTTTTTTTTTTTTGTTTTTTTTTTTGGTTTTTCGAGACAGGGTCTCTCTGTGTAGCTTTGCGCCTCTCCTGGAACTCACTTGGTAGCCCAGGCTGACCTCGAACTCACAGAGATCCGCCTGGCTCTGCCTCCCGAGTGCTGGGATTAAAGGCGTGCGCCACCACCGCCCGGCCTAGTCCTGTTCTTATTCTATGCTGAACCACCATAACCCCCTGACTGCAAGATAAAACACAGCGTTAGCAGACTCCACGTCATCTACTCAGCATCCTCTGGCTTCCCTCCACAGCTCCAAGAATAAAGCAAATTTACTTCCCTCCTGCTGACATTCTATTGGAGGACAGGGCATACGTATATAAATAGATACGGTTTTGTGCCTGATCAATTCTTTCAGTGCCCAATGTAAGATGTACTGAAGGGATGCTGAGCCATGCCCAGAGTCTCAGCTCTGAGGCCTTTGAGATGCTGTTCCCTCTGCCTAGAACATCCTTCCCTTTCTTTCTCTTGAACTCCTTCCTCATCCCTCAGGCCGGTGCTTGGCTTTGCCCTTTCAGGGTCTTGCTGCACACTTCAGGCAATAGTTGCTGCATTGGGTTCTGCCCTCTTCAGCCTCATCCCAGGGTACTGAATGTCTCCATGTCTTCCTGGCCCCTGGGTCAGACAGCTAGTGCTGGGCTGCTTCTCCTGGTTTGTTTCCATAGCCCAAGCTCTAGCACTTGGCCTTGGGACCACCCAGAAAACAATATCCACTGACTCTATAAACCACTCAGATCCAAATCCAATTCTACTTGCTGATGAAGTGTTTTCTGGTACCTGTTCCCTTGGCTTCCAATGTGCTCAGCTTTCCTGAGTCACTCCTAACCTTCTGGGTGCAGAAGTGTGCACATGCATGTGCACACAGAGACACAACTCCTGTGGTGGCCTGGGATACAGTGCCACCGCACATCTGCTTCTCTTCCCTCCCCTGATGTACTTACAACAGCTGCTTCCCCTGGATTTCCTTTTTTTAATTTTTCATTTACTTTTTATTTCATTTTATTTTATTTCCCCAGAGTCTCACTATGTAGCTCTGGCTGCCCTGGATATGTAGACCAGGTTGGCCTTGAACTCATAGAGATCTGCCTGCCTCTGCCTCCTGAGTGCTGGGATTAAAGGTGTGCACCACTATGCCTGGCTCCCATGGGCTTTTTTTTACACCTATTTCTTTTCTTTTTTTTTTTTTTTTTTTTGGTTTTTCGAGACAGGGTTTCTCTGTGTAGCTTTGCGCCTTTCCTGGAACTCGCTTTGGAGACCAGGCTGGCCTCGAACTCACAGAGATCCACCTGGCTCTGCCTCCCGAGTGCTGGGATTAAAGGCGTGCGCCACCACCGCCCGGCTTCTTTTTTTTTTTTTTTAAGATTTATTTATTTATTATGTATACAGTGTTCTGTTTGCATCCAGAAGAGGGAGCCAGATCTCATTACAGATGGTTGTGAGCTACCATATGGGTGCTGGGAATTGAACTCAGGATCTTTGGAAGAACAGCCAGTGTTCTTAACCTCTGAGCCATCTCTCCAGCCCCTCCCATGGGCTCTTTTACACCACAAGAAAGCTACAGAAATTGTCAGGTGGTGGCGCTCGACTTTGATCCCAGGGCTCAGGAGGCAGGGGCAGGCAGATCTCTGTGAGCTCAGGCCAACCTGGTCTACAAAGTAAGTTCCAGGACAGCTAAGCTAAGCTATTACACAGAGAAACTCTGTCTCTAAAAACAAACAAACAAAAAAACAAAAAAAAACCAAAAAGAAAAAGAAAAAAGAAAAAAGAAAGAAAAGAAAAGAAATTGTCCAAGTCTATACCCCTATTGGGCAGTTTCCTCCAAGACTGAAGCATTCCACCCTTCAGGGAAGCTCCTTAAGCAGGGAGGTAAACAACTCCAAATAGCTTCAGGAAGTCCCTGAGTCTGACCAGATTCACCAGGCCTCTACCTGCCAGAGTCAGCAATAAATGCTGAGAGTCAATCTTAGACAGACAAGCTGTAAAGATCCTTTAGACTGAGGCCAACTGAGGCACGTGGGAAGGACCCTCTCCAACCTTCTGAGCTGCCTGCAGGCTGTGCAGCGTGCTCCAGGCTCTCAGTGTTTGGGAACTGTCACCTAACCCGGGGTGGCCTTGGTGCTGCAGCTGTCTTTGAGTCATTTCTGCTCCTGTAAATAACCCCTCACCCATATTCCTGTTAAGTAACCCCTCACCCATATTCCTGTTAAGTAACCCCAACAAATCTTATTGGTTCACCAAGTTGGACCTTGGTGGTATCTGTACTTTGGTCTTTCCTAGGCTGCCTATCTGGGGTGAGTAGATCGTGTGTGTATGTGTGTGTGTGTGTGTGTGTGTGTGTGTGTGTGTGTGTGTGTGTGTGTGTGTGTGTGTTTCCCCAGGAAACAAGTTTTGTCACCCAAGAGCCTCTGGGTCCTGAATCCCCTTTGAGCCTTCAATCACAATGCCAGGGGCCCAGCCATTCCTTACGGCACCTCTAGCCTCCTCAGAGATGACTCTGAGCACAGAATGAGTGCTCAGCTAGCCCCTGATGTCAGCATTGTTGACTTGAAGCAGTATCAGATTGCCTCCTTGAGATTCTTTTTTTTTCTGAGTCTCAAGGACCAGGATGAGGCTAGTTCCCATCTCCACTGTAGAAAAGGTCTCTAATGATGCAAGCTCCACCCCACACCCCACCCCCATCTTCAGCCCCTTCCAACAGACAGATGTGAGCCTTGGCACGGGCCCCAGCCTCACCCATGCTCTGCAGTGGCCAGACTCACTGCTGATGGAACTCTGTTCCTACCATTGGCTCCTCCAGAGTGTAGGAGGGCAGACAGTGTCCCAGACAAGCCAATAGGAGGGATGATATATGTGCCTCACTTTGCCAACATTATACCATCACTTCTACCCACATTATAGCATCAGTAGGAGGTAGGGAGACACTGACTTTATCGTAGCCAATAGCTGCCATGCTCACTCTACCTGAAGTTCAAAGCTGGGGGTGTCAGATAGGATAGTGTTGAACTGACCCAGAAAGTGAGAAAAGGATACCATGTTCCCCATCATCATGGGCTGGCTGAGATCCAGGGGGACCAGCAGGTGAAGGAAGCTTCGGCAGGCTCAGATATGACCCTGAGAAGGATCATTTTGATCTAATAATTTCAACCCCTCCATTGGCTATCAGACAACATTGTCTTCTAGATATTGAGAAAAGGCTCCTGGGCTGGCAAGATGGCTCAGCAGGTATACACATGTCTGATGAACTGAATTCAACCCCCAAAATCCATGTAAAGGTGGGAGGAAGGAATGGACTCCTCTGATTTCCACACACACATGCTATAGCATGAGTGCAGCACACACACACACACACACACACACACACACACACATACACACACACACTACAGAGAGAGAGAGAGAGAGAGAGAGAGAGTTTTCTCAGCGTCCCTAATATGAAAATGAAAGCCACAGACAGTGGTGGGCCACGCCTTTGCTCTTAGCACTCAGGAGGCAGAGGCAGGTGAACCTCTGAGTTCAAGGCCAGCCTGGTCTACAGAGTGAGTTCCAGGACAGCCAGGGCTACGCAGAGACACCCTGTCTCAAAACAAACAAACACAAAAAAGAAGATGAAAGGCCTTTGTCTAGAGCCTTATCATGGGGGATGAAGAAGCTGCATT